TCTGTGATGGGTATTTGGTTCCTCTGTCACGGTCTGTGATGGGTATTTGGTTCCTCTGTCACGGTCTGTGATGGGTATGAAATTTCTCTGTCACGGTCTGTGGGGGGGAGGGGGGGTGGGTGCAAATTTCTGCCCCTAAACACTTCAACACTCCTTTCAGATCGTGTTTCACAAAATGAACAATTTTTCTTTATCGTATCATTGAAGAGCGTATGTTGAGTCGTTTGTATTTAATCTTATTGTAAAATATTCTTATATGTTTTTTGTCAAAACTACGTTTTCCATAAATTTTATAAAATTTTATTTCTCATTTTTCGAAATATTTGAACTGATCAATCATCGATTGTATCTTTTAGGATGCATGAAAATGAAATTTGAATACATACTGAAGCACAAATTAGGTAAACATTGAGCTAAACATATCTTTTTTATATAATTAAGTACCATATACATCGTTCTTTTTATAAGAAAATGGTTGTATAGCTCATTGAAATGATTGATGATCGCAACATTTTATGAGCTTCATATATCTGATCATTTAATTTTGAATGTGTTAATTAATATTATTCAACTATTTAAATAATTAGACAAAAAAAGATGATTGATTGATATGAGGCAGCATATAGGAATGGGGAAAATACATAGAAAAAGAATATCGATGACATAAATATTTCTGATTTTTCAGTCATAACTCGTATATGGAGGTATATATCGGGTGAGGTATAAAGATTGCAATATTTGGTATTTTGCAAATATTTCACCACAGATAGATCATACAAAATTGAACTTTTTTAAACAGATGTGCCGTGAAATTCTTGACAATAGTTAAAGTAAAAGATTCTCTCTCCGTATGATAGTGATTTTTGAGAGAACTAAAATGAAAGATGTAGTTTTGCATTCATCAGAATTTATTTTCTTTCCGTATCTAAACAACAATCACATTCTGCATACTTTTAATTTTTTCTGACGATTTTCAGACATCAAAATAATCCTTTTGTCCATATCACACTATTCAACAATGAGTTTTTGTATAAAGGACTTGATTTAGATAGAAAACTTGTGTTTTCTAGCACGTGTACACCACTGTTACATTGAGAAAATATAGTATGTCATACATCTTTCATTTTAGTTCTCGTTAATTATTATTGTCAAGTATTTCACGATGTATCTGTTAAAAAAAATCAAGTTTATATGATTTATCTGTGATGAAACATCTGCAAAATACCAAATGTTGCAATCTTTATACCTCACTTGGTAGATTACAGATGATCGTACAATTGAAAATTTTCTCCAAGTTCACAACTTCATTTTCTATGTTTACTGACTTAAATAACTCTTCTGCACAAATGTATAGTTAAAAAAAGAAGAAACGAAAATTCAATTGACTCGAAGCAGTAATCATTTGTTAAGATAGGAAAAAAAACGATGGGTGAGTAGTAGATGATTGAAGGTGAGCAAGTAAGAATAAAGATAAGACTCTTATCCTCACCCTCAAGATAGTTTATTTTGTATTGATTAAAAACATGAATAATAGCTTGAGTGGTGCCGTAAAAGTGAAATCTATTTATAGATTTAAATAAAGTCAATTATTGTTTGTTTGTTCATAAAGTTGTTTAGCTGAACAATCAGGTGTAGAATTATCTTCAATAATTGAATCAAATTTTGAATAATCCAAAGAATAATAATCTTTATTAAAATGAATCATTCTTTGAAATCTTCTTCCCCAAAGAATTTCTTCAGGCATATAAGAAGTTCTAGCTTGTGTAACCATTCCAGTTGGTTCAATAATTCCTTCAAGAACAACTAATATTTCAAATTTTTCTTTAGAAAATGTTTCTTTATTCATTTCATATAATGGACTTCGTGAATCAATTTTATGTTCAATAATAAGTGGCCAATTAAGAAATAATCGATCTTTTCCTAAATCAAAACCTACATCCATATCAAGTAAATTAAGTGGAATTATTTCATTTTCTTTTGTTTGACGTTTTGAAATAAAATACATTCGAATATGAGCTTCATTTAATGTTGATCTATGACGCATATCACCTAAACGACATTGTAATGTTAAAATTCCATCACGAAGTGATATAACAGCATGTCGAGACCATATTAATGTTCGACGACGTTTTCTAGGACGAGATAATTTTGTATAAATAAGACCAACCCAAAGTGCTTGAAGTATAAGACCAAAACAACTTTGAATTATTAAAACAGCTACTCCTGCTGGACATTCTTCAGTGACTGCTCGTATTCCATAACCAATTGTTTGTTGAGTTTCTATTGAAAAAAGAAGTGATCCACGAAATGATTTAACACCAATAACACAAGGAATATGATTATTATCAGTTACATTCAATGTTTTATTAGAAAAATCACCATGAACAATCATTATACCATACCAAATAATAGCAAATAAAAGCCATGATATTACAAAACAAGAAACAAATAAAATTAATATAATTATCCATGGTAAATCTAATAATGATGTAAAAATATCTCTTAAATAACGACAACGATCTTCAATATTCAATCTATATTAAAATATTTTATTTTATTTTATAATAATCAATATTTACCTTCGAAAATAAATATCTCCTTCTTTTGTTATAAGACGTTGTCGACTCGATGATATTACTATATATTACATTCACAAAAAAAAAGGAAAGAAAATATTTTCAAGATTACCATTTTCTTGTCTTGCATAACTTCTTCTAAATTCGAATAAATTCAAATTTATTATATATTTAGTTTTAGACAAAATAAATAAATACTAACGCATTAATTGATGAACTTATTTGACGTATTGCACGATTTAATCTACTAGATTTGAATAATGGAAATTCAACCATTCCAAGCCAAAGAATGTTTATTTGATGATTTTATTAAGATACTACGCGTGCCCCTTGTAACAGATGCCCTATCTATTTTTTTTTATTATTTGAAACGCTTTTCTTTTCTTTTCTTTTCTTTCTCTGCCATATCATATTACAAATACGTCACGTTGTCGACCCTTTATCATACAATGTCTTCCATCAGATATACATTTACAATATGGTGCTATTCTACTAGCGCATATAACTTATTCATATCTATATGTTGCAATTGAGATTGAAACCATTTCTTTTGATTTGTTTCTTTAGAAATTTCCTTCAAAAATATAATTAAGATTTTCTTTATGGGGTGTGGGTGTGAGTGTAGGTGAAAAACATGCATGCTCGTACCCTCATTCACTGACATCCACAATCATGTTCGGAACCACACCTCACCCACACTTGCCACAGTTACAGCCATCCTCAGGCACACTCTGAGATATTAAGACTAGTGGGAATTTACACTAGAAATCTTAGATTCATAGAATGCTTTGGAAGATTCTAGAAAATTTCAGAATGATCTAAGCACTGCCACAAAAAACCTCGATTTAAACTTCCACTCACTATTATTTTCTTTGAAAATAAACGTAAGTGCCGCAATGCGAGAAGAGACTAATTCAAATGTTATTAACAAACTAGATTTTGACCCTAACATTTTTAACGAGTCAAAAGGTTCGAGAAACTTTTACTACTTTTTTGACAGTTGGAAAGTGGGAGGGGGGGGGAGGGGTCAGCGCCACCTAACGAAAACTCTTGACGCCATCACTGCATGGGTCCTTACCCGTATCTTCAGTTCGAACAAGTATAACAAAGTCAAGATCATCTGATGATGATCTTTTAGCAAAGTTGAAATCTGGATTATACTGTGCATCTCAAAAGTTTTTCCCCCCTTTGGTATTTTTTAGTTTTTATCATTAGATCTTTTTAATCTATTAACTTCCTTTATAGAGAAAGAAAGCCCAGAATACGCTACATCTTATGGTATATTTACATTGAACAACAAATGCAGTTTGAAGTATAAAAAGTTTATTAGAAAAAGATGTGACATTTTTTTTATACTGCACAAATTGATCAAAATCTTGAAATGTATGAAGAGTAAATAGTTTTTAGGATAATTTTTGATTAAAACGAGATAGAGATCTGTACTTTAGCGAACTTTTCTTCAAAAAATCGACTATTTCGTATTTTTTGAAAAAGACTTCACATTATCCTCTGTAGAAGTCTCGATTTTTGAAGAAAAATTCACTAAAGGCCCTAACAAAACTTGTCAGAGACATGCGAAGTATCGAATTCGATGCATCTTTATGTCCGCTTTCTAACGGTGAAAATCGCAGATCTCTATCTCGTTTTAATTAAAAAATTATCCTAAAAACTATTTACTCTTCATACATTTTAAGATTTTGATCAATTTGTGCAGTATAAAAAAAAAATGTCACATCTTTTTCTAATACACTTTTTCTACTTCAAACTGCATTTGTTGTTCAATGTAAATATACCATAAGATGCAGCGTATTCTGGACTTTCTTTCTATATAAAGGAAGTTAATAAATTAAAAAGGTCTAGTGATAAAAACTAAAAAATACAAAGGGGAAGGGAAGGGGAACTTTTGAGGTGCACAGTAATATGCTGAACATATCCACGCGGATGATAGAAATTTTGCCAACGTGAAACTAAGTTAAACGTGAAAATAAATGGAAAATTATGTAACAGACAACATATAAAATAAAAATTAAAGACAGCTAAAATTTTTTAACATAATTATAACACATAATATTCTACAGATACCATCATCAGACGAAAGAACCACCAACATACTTCCTCAAGTTAATTTATTATTCTTTTCTTTCTTTATAATCAATGGTATCTGTGGAATATCACGTGTTATAATTATGTTAAAAAATTTTAGCTATCTTTAATTTTTATTTTATATGTTTTTTGTTACACAATTGTTCATTTATTTTCATTTTCCGAATTAATTGAGCTGAGCCGGGAACTCTATATGATTATAGCCTTAATACATGATAAATTTCAACGTGAATATGAGGCCAAAGCAGTATAACATTGTATAGGTAATCATTCATAGTTACGCTTGATTGCAATCCTTTTGATATGTATACTTTCAAACATATGCATAGTTGTATCTTTGAATCCGAAGGTATAACGAGAAGAAAAACGTGTATCAAGTCATTAACGACTCTAGTCAAGTGAAAAGAAACATTACTTTGTGACTCATTCAACATAATAAATCGTTTTGATTTCAAGAGTTATCTGAAATGTTTGTAGTTCTAACAGCAATCATTTTCTTTCTTTGTTTACTGGTTCTCATCATATATTACGTAGTGCCTATCTTACTGCGACATAAACAATTACAAAAAGACTATCAAAATATTTCATTGCTTCCTCTTTCATCAATTCCACTTATTGGAAATATACCTCAATTCGATAAACAACATCATGTTTTTTTCCAATTACTTTGTCGATTAGCAAAACAATCTCAAGATGAAGGCAAAGGTCTTTTCTGTATATGGCTTGGAATAACACCGAGAATATTTTTATGTTCAGGTCAAGGACTTGAAGTATGTATATCGAATTATTTCTTTTTCGAAAATACTTTCTTGATCATATTTTTAGTCATTTATTAATAATAGTAAACAACTTGTGAAATCTCTTCATTACACTTTTCTTGAACCTTGGCTTCACACTGGTTTACTTACTAGGTAACAAATCATTGATAAAATATGTTCAATTTTATCACATAGTCTAATTTTTAAATAGCAACAATGATAAATGGCGTAGTCGTCGTCGTTTAATCACACCATCATTTCATGATACTCAATTATTGTATAATTTTATGAATATATTTAATGAACAATCATATATTCTTGTTCGTCGATTTGATGAATATGCAAAACAAGAAAATCGAACACATGATCTATATCCATACATATCTGCTTGTACACTTGATATTATTGCTGGTATATTAGAATATATTTTTTAACTAGTTAAATAATAGTTTTGTCGAATATATTTGACTGGTTTTAGAAGCTGCAATGGGTACAAATCCAAATGCTCAATTAAATGATGATAAAAATGAGTTTGTACAGGCAACGGCTCGGTAAAATAAGATTGAGTTGCTTTTTTTTAAAATTAGACTGTTTGTTTTTTCTTTTCAGAATAACTAGTATAGTAGCTACACGTTCACGATGTCCATGGTTGTGGCCTACATGCATCTTCGATCGAATACCAATAGGAAAGGAACAAAAAAGAGTACTCGAAATTCTTCATGGATTTTCTCGCAAAGTATATTGTTTAATTTCATATATATGATTTTAATTAAATTTTATTGTTCGATCAAGGTAATTCAAGAACGTCTTGCTACATTTAACTCTGAAGATGTAGTAAATAAGAATGAAGAAAAGAAACAAATACGTCGTCTTGTATTTCTCGATAGTCTTATTGCTCAAATGCATGCTGAAAAACTTTCATTCGATGATATTCAAGAAGAAGTAGATACATTTATGTTTGAAGGTCATGATACAACTGCAGCTGCAATAAATTATTGTTGTTATTTAGTTGGATGTCATCAAGATGTGCAAGAAAAAATTCATGCTGAAATGGATACGATCTTTGCTGGTAACTATCTTTTGTCATATTTATTCTTGAAATCATTCAATTATATCTTTAAAGATGATAAAGAAAGAGCATGCACTATGGAAGATATTCAACAAATGACTTATCTTGATTGTGTAATCAAAGTAAGCAATAATAATTGTAAAACTAATGTCCGTACCAATATGAAAGAGGTGTAGATGTAAGCTTAATAACTTCATAAGGACAAAATTATTTCAAAACACACCCAATTGCATATCTATTAGGTCAAATTGTAGAGAATTCTATTGAATTTTTAGCGGAAAATCTTTTTCATGCAGTTTTGTGAATATTTGTGAAGATGCTGAAGTTTTGTCTTATATGGTATTCAGAGAAAAAGACTTCTCAAAAAGTCTTCTGTCGATTGTTGAAATCTGCGGATCGCAAGCTATTGCTCTTATCAAGTTATTGAGCTTACATTCAACCTTCTTCAACAAGAGCGCGGACCTAAATCACATTAAACTAGAATATCATTAAATACTTTTTCTTGAATAGGAATCACTACGTCTTCTTCCATCTGTTGCACATGTCTCTCGACAAGCACAAGAAGATTTCGTGTATCGTAAGTACAGAAATCTTTGGAAAGGTTCATTTATATGAAAAAATCATATGTATTCATAGTGAGAAAAATAAATTACAAATGTATGAAAAATATATATTGAAACGAAAAGAAATCAAAAAACAAAAATACTGTATGATGAGAATATGTTTGCAACTAATCGATTACTTTCTAGTCAAGAGCTACTAGATTATCAGTTATCAACCATAGTGATTCTGAACATGGACATAAGAAATATCAGGTTTTACTGTATTTTCTTTTAGATGGTCAAACAATTCGTAAAGGTACCAATGTCGTCATTTTCATATATGGTATTCATCATGATGAAAATGTCTTTCCTAATTCAGAAAAATTTGATCCAGAAAGATTTTCTGATCAGAATCTTATTTCAACTGAAATTTCACCTTTTGCATATATTCCATTCTCTGCTGGTTCACGTAATTGTGTTGGTATGTGAAAATTTTCTCAGTTTATTGTTATTTCAAATGATAACAAAATAATTCTTGTTTTATTAAAATAGGTCAACGTTTTGCAGGACTTGAAGAAAGAGTTGTATTATCAACATTATTTCGTCGTTTTACTTTTCATTCAACTCAAACTATCGACGAATTACATATAGCTACTGAAGGTATTCTTCGTCCAGGAGTTCTAGTTCAGATGATTGTCAAACGTCGATGATATGTTCTATGTTTTTCATATTATCTTTCTGTTTAATTTTTCTAGTAGATATAATGGCAAATCTTTTCATAATATATTTTTTGAACTAAATCACTAAACAATAAAGAGTATTTTATTCTGTTATCTTATTCAATGTGTGTATTTTTTCTCACTCATATTTAAAAATTGAATTCATTATATTGAAATATATTCTATCATATAAATGTTAATTATGATTTCGAAATGATTTTAGCTATTGAATTTTCAATAATCATATTATTGTTTTTTGACAATGTCACGAAGTTTTATTTCACAAAAAAAATGATCTATGAGATAAAACAGTACATCGGATGAGTATTTATATTTGAATAAAAGATTTTCAAAAGAAAATACTGAAAGGAAGATAACGATAATTGATAATAGAAGAAAATCATGAGATTCCTTTGTTTAATGAACTTTTAGTCGATAATTGATCTTTTGCTGTATGTAATTCATGTTTAACCGAATTAATCATTGTTTGAAACCTAAAATAAACATATCAATTATTTCAATATTTCGTTAGTAAAAAAACAAAAAAAGTAAATCAAATAATACACTAATGACAGAAAATAGACAAGCGAATTCAAAAAGCAAAGTGTTCACTAAATAAATTTTATTATGTGCAGCAATATGTAGTATCTATCGATCGCATACATTTTGGGATCGAAAGTTTGTCTTATAAGATTAAAGAAATCGGGAAGAAATCAAATTTACGTAACGAAAATATTCATGTTTCAGGATGTGGGTGTGGGTGTGTAGATGAAGGTATGATCCACACAAACACCCCACACCCACACCTATCTTTTGTAGTGAACGATAAGTAATTAATACCAGATTTTCTCTTTATTCATTTATTTATTTTTAATTATTTTATAGACAAAAAAATTGTTCACATATTGATTAAAATAAATTTACAACTGCGTTACGAAATACACTTCTACTACTTAATATATAAATATAAAAGGGATATTATTAAACGATCAGTAAAATAGATGAAATAGTCAGTACTTAGATTATCACTCATGTAAAAAGAAGATTGGAAAAAATCTGATTTTAATCGAATTTTTTGTGATTAAAATAAATTAAATTTACAAAATATCAATTTTAACCGATGAAAATTTTTTCATTGATTATTTTACTCAATTTTAGTCAGATTATTCGATTTTTAATCCATTAAAATCGATTAAAGTTTTTAAACCGATTTTAATCAATTCTAATAGTTTTTCTTTTTAAATGAATAAGTACCAATTGATATCGAGTTTTGAAGCATGGAATTTATGTCAAAGATCGATCTAACATCATGTCTACTAATTTTTCGAGGTAAGAAGTCCAAAAAGCGATCGAACATCTGAGTTTTCAATATAAAGCTCAAGAAAACGCATTTTACGGTTGCCACCATTAAAATTAAATATTTATAAATTTAATTTATTTTAATCACTAGTTTGATTAAAAATCTGATTAAAATCAGAATTTTTCCAATCTTCTTTTTACATGAGTGATAACCTAAGTACTGACCATTTAATTTATTTTACTGACCGCTTAAATAGTAGCCTATGTAAAATGTAGGACAAAAGTTTACACCACTTTTAATATTTAAGCTTTTTTTACCCTAGAGAATTGAGTTTGAAAGAACAAAAAACTACATTAATCGATAGAGAATTTTGTGCTCTACATTATGGTAAAAACATTTGTCTTTCTTAATCCATCTCAACCTTCAAATGTTGAATATTATCGATAGAGGGTGTAAAATGTTAAAAACAGTCAAAACTTTAAATTCAAGACTCATCTACTGACTGATAAGCAACATTTGTTTTGTATGTGGAATAGATGCAAATTTTGAGTCAACTCCAAAAAGATCATTGTTACTACTCTTGGTTTACTACAACATGAGTACGAGTCGGAAAGATACAATTGTCAGAAGATATACTATGACAACTGGGCTATATTTTGCTGAAAACTAAGATAACTTTTAAACACATTTTACACAGTCAAAAATGTCCGAAATTACATGTTTTACACCGTTGATCTTAAAGATGCGTTTTAACCGCGTGTGCCTCTTCCATCATTTTAACGATGTGAAATCTGAAAAAAATGCGACCGATAAAACGTGAAAATTCGGACATTTTTGACTGTGTAAAATGTATTTAAAGACAAAACGCCAAACGGCCGTTCTAACGTATCAATTTCATTTTTCTGATTGTTTGAGTATCTGTCCAAATCGTGAGTAACGTAAACATCGAATATCTCTCTCTAGGCAAGTCAACAGTCACTAATATTTTAATTTTGTTAGTTTGGCGGTAAAAGTTTTCATTTGATTTGAGTATGTGCTATCTTTCTAACTAGCACTACAAACATCTCTATTTTGAGTACTTTTTCATAATGCATTGTCACGATTTTAAACATGAAAATTCGTTTTGTATTGTCAAACAAACTAGAATTAGTATGTCCTTATCAGTCTTTCTAACCGCATCATCATCAGTGAATATGCAAAATGATAAAAGTTTTACAAAGTCTATGCACCTATGTAGATTCTGTATGGTGTCAACAGATCTGTATGATATTACGATGTAGGCACACTACAAAGAATAATAAAACAGAAGAACAAGTTGTTCGTTACTTTTTTTATCTATATTAAAAACAACTTTTTGCTTTTTTGTTTTTTTATTATTTTATTTGCGTATTTATGATGAATGTAATTACAATATTTTCACAATTTCAATTATATAATTCAGACAATAAAGAGATATTTTTCATGTATATCCATACAAATGGAACTAAACTGTGAAAAACCGATATGTGAAACAAGCCTGTGTTTCTTTTGTGTTTTTTTTTATCCTTGAATCTGGTAAAATGCAGTTGAAATATTCTTTGTGTATTTTAGATGAAATTTTTCATTGCATTTTTACTCATATTTTTATCGTTCAGTGATGGAAAAGCAATTCCATTAGATCCTACGATAGTTTCCACGAACATAGCGCTAGATCCTCCACCTGCTAATAATGTGACTATTAATGTAAGATGGACATTCATTAGTGGAATCAATATCACATATGTTGTAATGATTATTAAAAATCTTAAATCATCACAATATGCTGCTATGGGTCTCGGACAAAATCAATCTATGGTGATTATAGAAGAATAGCTTTTCTAACTATTGGAGCAGGAAGAACATTTTTATGACCTTTATTTTTCATTAGAAAGGAGAGATTAACTATAATCCTCTTCTTGAATATTGGTCTTTAATGAATAGAACAAATATAGAAACATACAATGTTCTCTCTGTTCCACACTTAACTCTTTAAAATTATTATATTTCCTCGAATGTGAAGTATATGCGTAGGAATAAAGTTTTCATTTCTAGGGTGAAGCTCATGTGTTTATGTGTAAACGATTTGCTAATGACAAAATTGCTATACAGCGATTTATAAATCCTGGGAATCATACACCTCCTGTACCTGCTGGATCAGAACAAGGTGGTATATTTACACCTTTACCTGCAACATTTATAGATGGTATTGTTACTTGTCAATTCGTTTTGTCCGATTTTGCTCCTCAAAAAGTAAAACAACTTAACACATTAAGACCACTTTCACAATCAGTAAAATATCATCCTCTATTTGCCGTTGGATTGTTGAACTCTACGGGTAAGTCATTTTTTTAAATAATCTCTTGAGAAATTTCAAATGTTTAACCCAGATTTTTCTTAAATGAAACTTTAAGAACAATTAAACTATTAATTATTTTTTTAGGTGACGCACAATATCATGATGGACGTGAACCTCAACCTGGTCTTGTTCAATTAGATCAAAATCAAAATTTAATATTTCACCAAAACAGCTCCAAGCTATTCAATGAAATATATCCGAATTCATAGAATTATTATGATTTTCGCTTGAATATGTATTCTTCAAATTTGACAAATTAACATTAATAATAAAGTATTAGTTTTATGATGAATGCATGTTTTTAAAATAAATAAATAATTTTATGATAAATAAGTTTTTTTTTCTTAAAGGACAAGTATCGATAAGAGCACTTTTTTTATCCAAAATATTTTTTAAAAAGAATTATATATTCGGAATCAGCATGAAATTCTGAGTAAAATGATTTACCTTTTGCTGTCGAAAAATTATCTTCATTTTTCATGGTCTGTTGGGCACCTTTAGGGGACCTCAGGACTGTCGAAAAACATTTTTTCTCAAATTTTAATGAAGCTAGCATCATTAGACGCGAAATTTTAAGCTGATTTCGAATTTCAGATTCATATTCGAATAAAACAGAATTTTGCTGAAGAACAATTCGATTTATTGTAGAATGCTGAAGGGACTCTATTTTCTGTTATCGACTTCAAACCGCCCCCTAACACCACTAGAAAGCTTGAAAGAGATTCGGTGATGTATGATATCGCTTACTTAGAGAGAAACACATAAAAAGAGTTGTTTGAAGTCGAGGTTTAGTTAGCTTTAGAGCGAAATAGTCAAAAAAAACAGGCTTTGGATCCTGAATCTTCTATAGAAGGACAAAGAAATCTTGAACCAAAGAGTGATATATATATATATATAGAGAGAGAGAGATCAATGTAGTTTTTCATACTTTTTCAGAAGTGGATCTCTTCCGGAGCTCCACCCTTACTGACTACCACAGTGTAGATAGCAACTATGACAGTCAGTTTCGGCCTGCGTCCCACAAGCCTCGTTTGAGGGAATTTTGACAGTGTGGATGGGGCTGAAGGTGTCAGAGTCTTCATTTTACTCACACCCACACACCATCCTAATTATGTTAAAAAATTTTAGCTGCCTTTAGTTTTTATTCTATATGTTGTCTGTTACATAATTGGCCATTTATATTCATTTTCATTTTTATACTAATACAGCAATAAAATGGACGTCTTTACTCAAGTTAATTTATTGTTCTTGATAATCAATGAGTTAACTTATATTTTTTTCAATGTGCTGATACATTATTCTACATATACTATGTTAGGTTATAATTAATCTGATACAGATGTATGCTGGTGATTTTTTCGTCTGATGATGGTATCTGTGGAATATCACGTCTTATAATTATGTTAAAAAATTTGAGATGTCTTTAATTTTTATTTTAAATTAAACATGAATGAAAAGTTTTCGTCGCTTACATTATGAGATTTTGCTCGTGTCTATGTCGTGGCAATAAGTTTTATGCATCGTTCTAGATACTTTTTTTTTTTAACATTGCTTGTCACAACTTGTACTGCTGTACGACTAGTTCAAACCGATAGTGAAGTAACATGTCCATCGAGTCAGACAATATCATCTTATCCCTTCAAATCTTTGATGTTTTAGTTTTTACTTAATAATTGCATAATCTTATGAAATTCATAACAAGGTTCAACTAACGATAGTTCATATTGCTTTTTTTGCATTGAACAGAATCGATAGAAAAACTTTTGTACTTTTATATATTTGACATTTCATAATTAATCGACAGATTAGTTGAGTAAATGAGGTATACCATTATGCACCAATGAAACGATGAATAAATCAGTAAAATATGCACTGCATCTTTTTCTTTCTTCTGTTGTCAACAAACAAAATTTATTCGGCAAGAACATATTACAGATGAAATTGATCATTCATGTGAAATTGTACCATCAACTAATATGATATGTTATAAAGATTTATTTCATTCAATACCATTATATATTGAACAAAATATTCTTACTACAAATAAAATGCTTGATCAAACTAAACAATTAGCTTGGATTTTAATAGGATTCGCTAATCGTGTATTTAAAATACCTATTGAAATATTACATCTCTATCGAGATATTAATGGAGGTAAAAATTGAAAAATTATCTTTTCAATCATTTATTTATATTTTTTTAGCTCGTATTACATTTAATGACCATCATGCATTATTTTTTAATCTTCGTCATTATGAACAAGGTGTGGGTGTGGGTGTGGGTGTAGATGTATGCTATTCTTCCTTTAACCTACATCCACACCCCATACCCACACCCTCGGTTCTTCTCAAAGAGCTTCTCTTTGATGTGGAGTATGACAAATCAGATAGGCGCCTCTTTGTTGATTTCTTTCGACATATCTATCAAGATCATAATGACGAGTACAATGATTGTTTGGTGTGGACAGAAATATGTTCCTTTCTTTTTGACCCGATCGTTATGTTTCTGATCATCTAGCATGCCAAAGAGTGACTTCGATCAGTTAATTAAACACCAAGGTGCTCTTCTCTTATTCAATAGTTTCGTTTCGACTGGCATTGATCGAGCTGTCTCCCTTGCGTTTGCTGGTTGTACGAATAGCTTGATGAAAACTGTTCTATTTGTAATTGAAATTGATATGAGTGTTTGCTCCAGTCCGTATGCTTCATTCGATAGTGAGATTTATTTTAAAGGTCAAAAATGAGAAATTCTTCTCTCGATGCATAGTGCTTATCGAATCGGAGATATAATTCAACTCGCGGGAGGAATGTGGCAAGTTCGACTTCTATTAACTAACGATGATCAGGATATTCAACAGGATTACAATGGCTCATTCGAATCATGTCATATGGGTGGTGAGCGAATGGAAGGAATCAGTCGAAATCTATGAGTAACTGCTAGTCTCGACACAAGCTAATGACAAATCAAATCTTGTTCATCTACATATCTAAATTGGATCCATCTTTTTTCTTCATCTCAATAGCAATGAGCAAGTTATTTTGTGAAACACGATCTAAAAGGAGTATTGAAGTATAGAGGTAGAAATTTAGACCCGTCTTCCACAGACGTGACAGACATAGTCTCAAAAGTGTAATGTATTATGTATTTTTATAAATTACTAAAAGAGAAACTCATAAGTTTATAGTAAAACTGAAAATGTCCAGGGAAATATTGATTGAATTTTAGATGATGAATCAAAGTGAATATTGAGTATATACAGTATGGATCTAAATCAATTTGTTGAACATATGGTTTCTATTAGTAACAGCAGTTATTTAGAAGAGTTTACTGAATTTTATGGTGGATGCAAGCATTTAATTCATTTTATTAAGTTCAGTAATATTTTTTTATGACATGCAACTTGAATGACTTCCAATTTATTTAATGGAATGTATGAAGATTAAATCTCTTATTAGAAGATAAATTATTGTCAAAGTAATCCTTTATTATGTCAGATAGATTATGTAAACAAATGTACAATACACACAACAACAAAAGATTAAAATAGAGCTACAACGATTAAAGCAGAATTCAATACGAAAAAGTTTAACTTCGTATATCGAAGCTGCTTAAAGACAATACCAAAATAAGCAATCATCCTTTAATATTGTTATCATCTGCATGTTAAATTTGATGTTTGTTCAAAGTCATTAATTTCCCTTGACCTATTCATTTATGTACTACTGGCATTATATGCTGCGATGTGGTTATTGGATAAAGAGCAGGGGTAACAATATTCGGATGAATTCGTTGATCGTCATTGATTCGTAAGATTTTGTGAATTAGTCGAATGAGTTCTTCTCTGTATACGCGAGCTGAAATGATGTACAAGAAAAAGGTTGTTGCATAAGAAAAATGAAAAGGATGTAAAGCAATAATGTTAGCAATGAGTAAATCTCGTTGGAGCTAATATTCAGTCGACAAGAACAACATTAAATAGATTATACACTCAGGCATATTGAGTACCATAAACGTAACCACTTGGAGAAGTAGCATTCGAGCAAGTTGTCCTTCTGTACGACGATGACGCACAGTTGTTTCAGGGATAATACGCAGTTTATTTATATTGTAGATGGTCAACAAGCCGAATAATCCCATAAGGCATGGTGTGACGGCAGCGAACTGGATAAGCTCTACCAATACGTATATTGTCTTGTAGAGAGTGTCACTTCGAATGTTGCATTTAAGTCAATCATCTTCGCGCAAATCACACACTATAAGAGCGTTAATACCGAAGAGAACGTATAAACCAGTTGAAACTAGAATCATCCATCGAGCTACAACCACATTGCTAAAGTTGCGTGGTCTAACACTTGTCGAACTAGCACAAAACCGGTCGATCGATGCAAGTACAATGTAGTAGGGTGACAAGTTTCCATTTGTAACATTAATAAACTGAATCAGTTTACACCAAAAAAGGGAAACAGCTTGTCCATCGATTTGATATCCATCAGCTAGTAGGTTATAAGTAATCAAGATTGAATGGAGAAGATTGTTATAAGCAAGAGCAAGAAAATAGTGAGAACATGCATGGTTACGTAGATTGGATCGAGTAAGTATAATAATGTTGATAGAGTTGCCCACTACACCCACAATGATAGTGATAGGGTAAAGAATTCGTGCCAGTTGAATGGAAATTTCATTGAACGAGTTAGACATTTCTACTTGTTCAAATTCTTCTCAAATGAAGAGAAATATATTTTCTTAGTAGTTTATCAACTCACTCTTTTCTTCTCAGACTTATCATAATATCCAATTTAGAAATGAAGAATTTCATGTCATGTCAAGCTACTTATATTCTTTTATAAATATATATATATATATTTATTGTGCCGTACAAAAGTTTTAGTTCACAATGAAGTGAATAAAATTCATTTTGATATATAAGAATAAAAAGAAAAAGTAGACGAAGAAAGAAAGTATAAAGAGCAACGACTACATAAAGACACATGATGAAGATGACGAAGGTGACAATAAGAGAGATAGAAAACAGGAAAGGTATAAAAAGAATAGAGAAACGTTATACCAGTGCACATAAAGAAAAACACGTGTGAGTATAATCACGAGTGAGAACAATCACAACTTTATTTCCTTATAGCGCAGAAGACAAAAAATATTTAAATACAACAGTATTTAGTATATTTGTGGAATTTCTAAAGCAGTCATATTGCTTGATATGGACACAATCAAATTCAGACCAATCAATAAGACAATATCTAGCCTGCCTAACTAATCTGTAAAGGAATACACTATTCTTTCGAAAACTCATTTCCTTGTACCAACCAGAGCCCGACATAGATCAAAATTTTCTGACTCGACCCGAGATCAAATATACTTATAGGCCAATTAAAGCAAGTTGTTTTCAGAGATTAAGCGTTTTTTAAATACATCGGTACACATACTCACAAAATTCACAAGAACGAATAACTTCGGTTTTCATCATTTGAAAGAGAAGATAAAGATGTATCGAAACGTACATTATAGGGTTTTCTCAATATGCTATCTGAATTTTTGATTAACCCTTTACCCTCAATGGGTCATATATGACCCATCTGTAGAACGATCCCAGAAAATAAAGAAAGCATGAGACTGAAAAACTTCCAAGACATTATTTGTAGGTAACTTCACAAGCTATACATTGGTAAAAAAAATATTTTGTATTATTGCTCTACCTTTGAGATATGTGAGTTAGAAAATCGATAATTTTGCAAAAAATGCAAAAATTCGAAATTTTTTAAACAAAATGTTCTCTACTTGCAGTCGGTAGAGGTCTTTTGGAATTTCTGCGTGATATTAATCGATGAATAAGCCCACTGCTGAATTAGATGTGTTTCGAAAGCTTCATGATAACTCGGCGAATTATACATACTAAGGAACATCATTGACCATGTAGTCACTGTTAGACAGATGGAGGGTAATCAAGAACAAAGTTAATATATGCGTTATAGACCTCAACTCATGAGAAGTCGAAATAGTATCTATGATGAATTAAATTCCTTCAGACGTTACAAAATGCCTTAGAGCAAAATAGGCTTAAATTTCACAAAATGTGTAAAAAAAGCATGTATTCTTTGATGTTAATTTTTATTGGTTCACTCGTTACGTTCTCCCTATTACTTCAACAGTGCGAGATAGATGCTGCTTCTGTCCAGTCAATAATGTGGTCAAAGAAAAAAAAATTAAGTCTTGTGATGTCGTTCATTTCCCATTTCCTACCACATGATTTGTACATCAATCAAACCGCCCTACTTCAGGAACAAGACATTCGGTGGTTTAGGCCACACCATTGGCATATTCGATAGGTTAATACTCTATTAATAAAGTTCTTTTATCAGTGACTCTTCTGGAACCGCTATGGGGGGTAAAGGGTTAATCAAATTTTTAAGTGACGAAAAAATTGTTTTTTTTTGTCAAAAAGGAAATAGTAAAAACAATTTTATTCACAGAAACTGCTAGAAAAAAATCACTTAAGAGTTTCAATGAGAATACCTATAACTTCTGAATGATTAAAATATCATAGGAAAAACAACTCTTATAGAAATTTTATTATTATGATATTAGTTGAAGCATGATCACATACCACAGAAAAATAGAGTATTGTTTGTATTATTCCTGAAAATAAACAGAAAGTTTCATAAAGCTTACTATACTGTATAAAGGTGTCATGATCATTATTTTCGGACTGTCTTAAAGATTTGTAAAACAATTGGTCGTAACAATTTTATTACCTACTCTTTAACGAGATATTGAACTATATAATAAATAGTTTACGTAGGTCTAACCAAAAGTTCTAAGAACATTAAATAGTAATGGAAAAATAATGAGATATTTTCAAGTTTATTTTATCAAATGCTGAGCATAGTTGCCATGATGATTTATGTCCGGGTCAATCCTTTCTAACAATTTATTAAAAGTTTTTTTGACCTCTTTTGTGGAACTCACATATATTTTCGAAGAAAATAGTGAGTGTAAGTTTTAAGTTCGAGGTTTGGCGGCTCCCCACCCCCTCCTTACAGACAGGCCCCCATTACAGACCATAGCAACGGAGAAAGAGAACATTGCAGACATACCCCCCCCCCCC